GTGTTAAGTATTTATAGGTTTATAACCAAAGCTGCTTGGATCACGCAAAATGTGGAGGATAGTTTGTGGTTCATAAAGTGATGTAGGTACGGGCTCAAAAGAAATTTCACGAACCCGATTTAAATGTTTCTTGATGTTTCAAAATTAAAATGAATTCAGCTGGACTAGAGCAGTCTTCGATGTAACACTGTATTGATTAATTGTAGCAAAACTGAGGGATATACCCCACCTCCTTTTTGAAGAATGCATCCTTTAAAGTAAAAAAACATAAATTATCTGCAAAATTTATTCAATGTTATATGCGTAACAGCAGTTTTTACTAGCAAATTTTAACAGAACAAAGACTGATACAGTATTATCTTGAATCTTGAGGAACCGGTGGGACAAGAAGCTTACAATGTTAGTGCTGTTTAGGCTGTTAACATCACTTTTCGCAACAAGAAAGTTCTGAATCTGAACGATAAAGGAAGTAATCTTTACTTCTGAAGGCAAAAAAATTTCATTTCTGAAAATTTTCTTTTTATACTTTCTTCAAGCTTTTCTGGGTCGCTGTCTTGTTCTCCAGCTGACCAACTGATAACTTTTCCAATTGTTTTGATTAAAGCTGCTTTTCCGAGATCGCATTTTTTTATGGTGCCCGCTTAAAACCGAAGTCAAACATTAAATATGAGTTAGACTTCTATGAGTCGTTAGAGGTAACCGTGAGTTAGTAGAGGTTGGATAGGCTTAACGATAGTGAAGCAACAAAAGCCACTGATATGGAAAGACTAAAACTTTGAGATGTGAGAAGGAGGGAATGAAGGGGCGTGGGATAAATAACAATAACAATAATAATAATAACAGTAACAACAACAATATTGATAAGAATAACAGCAGTAATGACAATAATAAGAACAATAATAATAGGCAACGATAATAATAATAATAACAATAATAACAACAATTATAATAACAATAATAATAATAAGAATTTTATGAAACGTAGATTTGAGAACTTAAGATTAATGACAGAGGCTGAAATGGTGAGTAAGTAAGGGCAGTGAAGCTAAGGACATATTCCGAAAGGCCTGTGAAGAGAAGAAAAATGGAGAATAGCTTGAGCAAAATCCCCCGCTGTTAAAACTACCAATGATGTCCTCTTTCGAAAAATTGCTTAGAAGCAAGCTGATGACGGGTTTAAAACTCTCAGACATATGCCAGTACCAATTTATCATCGAAATGAATGAACGAATCGCGCGGATCGATTGGTTTTTCTCTCGAAGGAAAGGAACCTCCGGCCCGCTGCACATCAACAGTGCCATTTCGCCCAGCGCCATGCTTCATTTCCTTTCATATCTCATTTGCAACATTCAAACTGCCGCCATCCATCGTGGGGTAACTCTACCCGTCATTGCCGGGGAAAAATTTTCGCAAGTCGTGTATGGCGTCGGCCGAGCCGAGTTTAGTAAATTTCTGTACTTTGTGAAACGCCGCGCTTGCATAGTGGGCATTGCTGGGCAGTTGTACCGATATGCCAAAGTTCTTGGG